AAGCTATCAAATTATTATTGTGATTGTTGTTATTATTATTACAATTTTTGCTTTGTCATTTACTATTATTATAATCCAAAAATATCGACTTCGTGAGTAGGCGATTGATAAGTACATCTGCAAACGGTTTTTTATACGTCAAAATATGTTGTAACTCTGCAAAATATAGTTTAATTTTAAGAACTAATACACATATATAGTAAAAATATAATTGTTAGACGAAGTAAAAGATTAAATACTATTTATTTGTTTTAGATAAGAGACGGGGGCACGTGGTCCAAAGAAAATTATTACAAAGTGAATCTAGAAAAAAACTAATCTCATACGTTTCTTCTCGAAGAACAAGACAAGTGAAGTCAACACTTTTCTATTAACTTCTCTTTACACAGGTTTTAAGCATACAATTCAGTCTTTACTTGAAAGTAGGGTCTGAATATTTCAAATTTTCTGAAAAGAAAAAGTTTATCTTGTTTGAGACCACAACTATTTTTTGCGATATATAATCCTGTTTGATAACAAATTTAACACAGAGCAAGTTTACCGACATACGTGCCGTATTACATGACATCATTTACATGTTTGGGAGGCAAATAAACGAGGTTACTATGGTATGGTAATCTCCTCATTTGCCTGGTGAATCTACCTTTTGTACCATAAGAATGCATATTACTAGAAAAAAGAAGAAGGTCTAACGTTCGAAATCTATCTCGTTTTGATTAATCTATCATGTTTTGTGCGGTAGTTTCGTAATCTATCAAAATAATGTTACTGATATAGCAGCCCCCACCATTCCCTTGGCACATTTACAAATACTGATAAAACTATATCTAAATTTGACCAACTAAATATAAACAAATTCCTATCGTTTTGGTGTGAATTTCATGCTCTTCAATTTATAATTTTATTTTAATATTAAATTATATAAATGATAAAATAGTGTTCAATACAACTTTAAAGTTTTTTTTTTCAAAAAATATATTATAATGTAGGAATTAAGCTAAAGAATATTAAAACATATTTGCAACGTCAAAATTACAAGTATTTATAGTTTTTGTTTTTCAATAATTTTATACTTACCATTTAATCAAATGATATTAGGATTTTGACAAAATAAAATTAAAGCCAAATGAGGAAACGTCATTCATAATATTGTATTAATTGATAGCTCATATATATATATATATATATATATATATATATATATATATATATATATAATGAGGTGACTATTGAATTTAACCTTTTTTAGTATTTGTTATTATGGTTAAAGTAAAATATGTTCTTTCTTATCTATATTAAGAATTTAACTATTTTTAAAGTAAGAATATGCGAACTTATTAACCTTTTTTTCTATTACGCTGTATTCGATAATCTATTTTTTAATATATCATAAAAATTAATAATATAAAATTTTGGAAATACGACATTTTGGTTTTAATATAACAATGAAAAATTGTATTTTCTAATAACAAAATTGCAATCTTTACTTTTGGCAACGGTTTCATAACAATTTTTTACTATTGTAATTTAAGGCATTGCCTTCAGTTTAGGTAAAAATAAATTGTTATTATCTCCAAATAATCATAAAATTGTTCTTTAAACTTATTTAAATGGTTTATAATCATTGTTTATTTTTAGGAACAATTTTTTCTATAAAAATTATAAATTTTATGCTTCTAAACCAACATAAACGAATGATAATAGAATAATTTTAATAATTTCATGCAATAATAAGTAATTGTTTTATTCTTTAAATAGTAGCCAATGCAAATTAAATGTTGTCATATAATTTTTTAGAACGATTTTGTATAAAGCATTTGTTATAAAATTATTCTTTTAACTTATTAAAACACTTTGTAATAATTGTTTATTCTAAATTTGAGGCACCACTTAATAATTATAATTTATTATATATGCTTTAAGATTAATTTTGATCTGTTATTTGTAAAAAATATAAATTATATATCATTAAAGGAATGAAATTAAAACATGTTGTCCATTATATTTTTAAATAAAATTTTATTTACCTAAAAATAAAAATATTGTTGTACATGTAAAATATTGTAATAATTATGTATGATAGTTTTTTAATAAAAAATAAAAAAATAACTATTAGGTTTACATATCTGTATATATAGCAGTCTTGCTAATTTTAGAATATAGGGGGGAAAAAAAGCATGTTGCCTTCCTTCCGACTTATTTTGATCTGATCTTTAATTTTAATTTTTTTTAATAATTTCTTTCTTGAATCTAATTTTCTTGATTAAGTTTTGTTTTAATGCCACAAAATATTTATTATAGATTATAAAATGTTTAAAATTTATTAATTTTTTTAAAATTCAACCAATATGGTTATGTATATATATTATAAGAAAAAGCATTTCATATTAATTTTTTATGTGTCATTTTTCATAAAAGAAAATTATTCTATTACTATTCATAATAAATTTTAAAATGAAACACTAGTTTATTGTATGGCCTACTAATTAGTATATCTTAAATAAAATAAACCTATCTTTATTTACGTATTGAAGAGTTTAAAAAAGAGCTTTTTAATCACTTTGTAAATGCATACCACTGCTTTAAGTACCTTGTGGTGCCATATTGGAGCACATGATACGTTATTTATTGAGTGTCCTTTTTTTTAGAATTTAATTTAATAAATTTGATTTTAATTATAAATTTATATTGAAATAAATGCACATCATAATTAGAGAAATTAATTTTGTAGTTGCATTGAGAAGAAAAGGGGAGGTGGTGGGGGGAAGTTGACTTCAATTGCCGCTATATGTACGTTGTTGACATTTATTGCTTAGGTTTACGGTTGAAAATATGTTTTCATTACTAAATTTTTTTGCAAATAATAATACAATAATTTTAAATGGTGTTGGATTTTTTTTTTTAATGAGTTAATATTTGTTGGAAGTGTAATAATACGTTAAAAGTTTCTAAATATAAAATCAAGGTAAAAATCATAAATTTATGTCAATTTAAATGTGAATATAAATCTACATTAAAAACGTCTTATTCTCAATTTTTTTTGTCTATACATAATATTTTATATTATTATTGTGTAGGATTTGATTACCTATCTATTCATATATTATCTTGGAGGAGTTAGTGTTAGACTTTTAAGAAGTTTGAATCTTTTGATTTTAAACACATACCATTATGGTGTTAGACTTTAAAATTTTTAGCAAGTTTGTAACATATCGAGGAACTATAATTAATAATATTAAGATAAATATAAATTTATAATTATTTAAATGTAATTTTAAATAAAAAAAAAAGTCTCATTTTGTAGAAAAAAAAAAGGGTCTCATTTTGAAGGTTTTTTTTTTTTAATCTTTGCACAAATTTTAGAATATTGTTTTGTAGGATTTGATTTGTCTATATATCGATATATTAACTTGAAAGAGTTGTTATTAGACTTTTAGGAAGGTTGAATCGTTTGATTTTGATGTAATTACAAAGGATTATTATCAGACTAGTTTGTTTTATTAAGAAATAGATGAGCTAGTTTGGCAAGTAGTCCATTCAGCTCGTAAATTTGGCTGAGAAAAAAATTAATAAAAAAATTGTCAAATTAGTTTTAAAACATTGAAAATCAATAATTATTATTTAACTCAATTAAAAGTCTTAAGTGAAGTAAAGGTCTAATACCGAAAATAAGTCAACGTACCTTGGATGTCAGGCTACGTTTTACTTCATAATTATTATATCTTGTTCCCTTTACTCATGTAATAATGTTTTGATAGATAATTATTGTTTCATCTCTTATAATCAACTTGTTTATCTTACAACATACGTGTATAAGAAAATTTTTTAATATAAAATTGAGAAAAAGATATATTTTTAATATGCACATACATTAAAAAAGATAAAAGATATGTAAAATAAAAATATTTATGGAATATGTCAAATATTTAATTTCAAATATTTTATATATGCTTTTATAAAAGCGATTAGGCCAGTAATATACAGATATGACATTCATGAATGTAATTATCTGTTTGGTTTAAAAACATCGTCCATGAGAATTGAAAGCAACTAAAAGGTGTTTGAAAAATATTTTTTAAGAAATTATTTCAATTTATAAAATATAATTTTAATTTTTTAATAAATAAATTTATAATATAAACTCTGGTATACAAATGCTTAGCTATTTAATCCTACCAATGTTGGCCAGCAATTGTCAAACATTGGCCGAAAACATATTATTCGGGATCCGCATTGTCTACAGTTGCGATGGAGGGAAACTGAATGTCTAATTCTATTATTAGCTCAAACAAATCTTTCAAAAATAACTTTAATAAAATTTGCTTAATTATATTGGGTTTAAGCAAATATTTTTTCCTTAAACACTGTTTCGATAATAAAGCTTTTTTATCAGCTTCTTCTTCTTCATGCTTAGATCATTGTTGCCTTTGGTAGCACTTAAGGTTTCGGACTAATTGGTACTCTCTTAGTTCTCTTTCCATTCTTCTTTTGCATTTCTTGATGTTTTCTTAGTTTGCCAATTGGTGTGCTTCCTCAATTGGAGCTCCTCACAGCTGCAGTTAGGGTTCTTGGTGTTGCCACTGTCACTGATTGTCAATTCGAAATGGTTTGGAGTGAGTCCTGTGCTGTGTGGTCTTCGATTGTTCACGAATTTAGGATTCTTTTTCGTTGGTGTTCATGAATCCAAGCTTGTTTTGGCAATGAAGTGTGGGGAATTTGGAGAAGTTTGAACCTTTGAGTGGATTCTGTTGTAAATTATGGATTTATTTAATCATTATTATTGATGGGTGTTTTTGCTTACATGTCTGCATTCTTTGTAAACAGTGTTTAAGGAAAAGATATTCGCTTAAGCGAATACAATCCAGCAAATTTTATACATTTTCGAAGTTATTTTTGAAAGATTCGCGAAAATAGAACTCACCCGTTACTCCTAGAGTGAGGAAGTTGCAATCAGGTTCAGGCATACGTTTGACGTTTACAGTAAAGGAATTTGCAACGCAGAAGTAATTAGCTATTACTATTACTAGGCAATATGAAACGACAAATACAACCCTGGATTCCAGCAAATTTAGCTTCCACTCGAATTCTGACGAAAACACAGAAGAAGAGGATTCAAAACAAAAATCGATTACTGTTCCCGGCTAATGCGAGAAGAACAGAGACAAACTATTCATGTTCCCTACACAGTTCCACGTGAACTTCTTCTTATCTCAAAGGCTCAAAGTTACAGCATAAAAGTAAATCAATAACAGTAACAATGAAAATGATAATTAGTTAGAACAGATTTGATTAACCACGTACATCTACCTCGATTTGTTTCATAAAAGAGATAAAGCGCGTGACAAGAGCCACGGATTTTTCCTTAGTGGGGTCGAATAAATGAAACACGTGCTCCTCTCCTTCGAAATCCACCATCTCAACCACACCCTTCCACCCACTATTCTTCAGCGCCTCATAATAGCTCGCTCCTCTATCCCTCAGAAAATCCTTCTCCGAAAGAAACACCAACACCCTCGGGCATTTAAGACCCGAAAAATTCGGATCCTTTGTAACGTGGATCTTCGGGTCATCGGGTCCTCCGTATGTCGGGTACAAATACTCCACCAGCTCGTCCTTCTTCTCGTTCCCGAAGTAAGGGTGAATCAACACCATTCCTTCAAGCTTCAAATCTCCGAAACCTTCAGCAGTGCCTCGCATAGCCATGTTGTGGGCGATGTTGGCGCCGGCGCTGTCTCCGGCCAGGAACACCACTCCGAGATCGGCGTGATCGTTGAGCCATGGCTCGGGGCCGTTGCCGGTGGCGTGGGAGGAGGTCCATTGGATGGCTTCCCAGGTGTCGTCGTAACAGATGGGAAGAGGGTGTTCGGGGGCCAGGCGGTAGTGGACGGAGGCGATGACAACGTTGGCTTGGGCGGCGACGGCGTTGAGGTGGCGGTGGTAGGCGGGGTTGAAGGGGGCGCAGACGCAGAAGGCGCCGCCGTGTATGTAGATGAGGAGAGGGAGTTTGTGGGAGGAGGAAGCGGCGTTTGGAGGGAGGTAAAGACGGAGGGAAACGCCGGTTTGGGAGTTGACAGTGACGTCTTTGGATATAACGGCGGTTTGTGGGTCGGTGCCTGGTGGGGTTGTTTCTAACCCGAGGAAGCGCTCGATGCGACCGTCTTTGTAGACGCGGAAAAGGCGAGGGAATTCTCGGACAATCTCGTCGGAGGTTGGATCCATGGTGGTGATGGTTTGTGATGATAACGAAAGTAGAGAAGAAGAAGAAGAAGAAAATGGGGTCAGTGGGTGAGAGTGTTCTTGGTTTGGGTTTGAATAAAAGAGAAGGAAAAGGCCTAAGGGAAGGAAACGGTTGTTGAACAAAGACAGAGACCATAAAAGAACGGTTTAATCCCTTGCTCCATTATGAAAAATGTTTGATAGAGACTCCTTTGGACAAAACTGTCATTTACAAATTTTAAGAATATTAATAATTTTATAATTTTATGACTAATTTTTTTAAATGCGAGAATCGGAACTACTTCGAAATTATTAGTTTATTTAATATTAAGTTATTTTTAAAGAAATAAAAAAATAGTATTTATTATAAATTTTGAACATATATCAACAATATTTAAATTTTTATACAAATTTACAAAAAAATAATTTTATTTAATTGTTCAAAGATAAGATCTTGACATGTGTCAAGTACTTTGTTAAGATTTTCACTGGTCCAGGTAATGAAATATAGTTAAGATTATTTAAAATTAAAATTATTAATATATCAAAATTTTGAGAATTCAAACTTTAAATATTAAAGTTCAAATTTTAATTTAAAAAAAAAGTCTTATTATCAACCATAATGAAATTTAATTTTTTTTACATATATCACGTAATATAAATTGTTCTTTTTATGTTCTACCTTTGCAAGTAGCGGAACTTATGATGTGATAAAAAAAATACTTCAAACAGATAAAATATTTTGAAATAATAATATTTTAATAAATAACTTTTGAAAAAAATCAAAAAACAGAAAATGTACTTACTTATTTCACCCTTATATGTTTGTGTAACTTTATTCAAATTAAGCTAAACCATAAAATATTAATTAATTAATTTTAATAATGTATTATTGTTATTATTATTATTTTAAGTATTTGTAATAAAAAAAAAATCAAGGCAACGAGAAGTGCAAGCAAAAATTAGTTTTAGATGATTTAGATTTAAAAATTGGTCTCCAACTTTAAGAAAAACAATGTTTATAATTATACTCATTATGTTTAGTTATGAAAAAATAATTATTTTTTATATATAGTATTTAGAAATTATATATATTGAAATATGGTATTTAAAAATGAGCAATTATTTTATTTGAAATGAATTGTTTTAAACATGCTACGGGTAATGAGCCATTTAAACGATTTATATCTTATAAATGCGTTGAAATATTGCTTAATACACGGTGTTTACTTCAGCATCTTTAAAAACACATTTTTAATATTAGCAAAAAAAACAAAAACACATTTTTGACTAATTCTTTTATTTAAGTACAATAATTTTAACATAGTTTGACATTACCTGCATACGTCTAAAATCTCAAATATAATTCTATTATTTTTAATTTTTAATTAAATAAAATTACAAATTATTTTATAATTTTGATAAGAACAAAATTATATACTATCATTTAACATATAACTATGCACATTTTAAATACAGTAAAAGAAGTACATATTATTTTGAAGAAAAATTTGTAATAAAATCTTATATTTATAAAAGATTTTTAGTTATTCTCTCTTCAAGTTATTTTGACAATGATTTTGGATAACTATTTTCATTTACTCAAAGTCTCACTTCTTTTAACTTTATTAATAATTCTTCTCTTAAATCTTTTAATTCGGTTGTAATCCTCTCTTATAAGATTAGTAGGACATTCCTTTAACTTAAAAAAGAAAAATCATTTCACCGTCAATTTTTTTTTATTTCTTTTCATTCTTATCAAAATCTTTTCTCTAATGTCAATTATCATGAAATAAAACTTCTCTTTAAATATTATTCCTTTTTTTAATATACATTCTATACAGGATCATTGAATTTTGTGCATATTAAAGAAAAGTAATTTTTATAGTAATTACGATTAAAAAGGATATTTTATTTCTATAGAGAGTGGGTTAGTGTTTCATTTTTAAAATACAAATATATTTTAAATTTTAAAATATTAAATTAATATAATTATTAATTGAAAAAGATATGAAAAAATAATTATAAAAAATAAATAAATTAGTGAATGAGATAGCTAAACATAAAAAGGGACTGTCAATAGGGCTCACTTTTAAATCGGAAGCCCATTTTGGCAAAAACAAAATAAAAACCCTGAAAGCAACTGGGCCTGGATCAAAGAAATTGGCGAGCCTCATTCATGCCTGATACCCTTTTTTGTCTCACTTTATCTCTCCGGGTATCAAGTCGAAACCAACCCCACAAAGGACGGCCTTCCTTTGTTGGGCCTTTAGTATTAGTTTGACAAAACCAAATAAAAGAGGCCCAGTTCATCAATCTGCCCAAAGAGATTGGATTGATATTATCTTTTTTATAAATCAAGATACCCCTATCAATATTGTCGGGAAAATTTGTTTAAGACAGGATTCATAATCACTGGAATTAATTATTCCTTATTGGTGATTTTTCATTTTTTTGTTATTTTATTTTTATTAAGACTGCCGAGACAGCATTTTAAGTCATTATTAAGTAATAGTGTCCATCCAAGAAAGAAAATTTGCCCCTTTTTTTTGCCAATCTTTCACAGATGGGACTTTGAAGTTGCGGTGAAATCAACGATCTCTTCAAAAGCTTGAAGAATCTTTGTTCTTCATTTTTGAAAACCTGTTAAATAAAAATTGTCAATCTTATTAATTTTTTTGCAAAAAAAATATGAGGATTATATATTATGGTTTGATTTGACTAAAACTCTAAATAAAATTTTTAAGACTCAAATCGAAATGTAAGAATTTTTATATTTATGTAAGAAAATTTTGTATACATACAATTTAATAACTTAATAGTAAGTCTTGTGTTAGAATAAAATTTGATTCATATAAACATTGAAGAATTTTATTCATTATTTTGTACTAACTTTATTAACTATAGTTTAATTATTTTATTTTCGTAATAGATAGAGAAAAATTAATAGAAACAAGAAAAGTTTTAATATTAATTTTAAGCATATAAAAGTGTTAAAACTTTATTTTAAAAACATATATTTATAAAAAAAAAGTATATTAAATATACTTTAAATAAAATTTACTACTTTTATATATTAAAAATTAGTCATAGTGATTGATGGTAATAAAATTTGTGGAAAATATAGTTCAAAAAAATGTTATTCCTAATCACTAAATAACATTATAATTTGATCATAATAATTCGAAAGCATGAGATTTCATCATTATAAAAGATAGTATTGTTATTTTATTTCTTAATTACTAATTTTCTTTTCCTTTATTCAATAGAAACACTTATTATTATCTTATCATTAATAGGAGATAATCTACAAAATTATAAATTTATAACCTCCTCATGAGATAAAGAAATTTTTGTTATATAAGAACGTCATTTTTCTGAGGTATAACTGGTCTTTTAAAAGCTCCTCTTCTGTTATGTTAGATGATGTTTTTACAAGTATCTCCAACTTCTCTCTGTATGATATGGGAGGGTGTACATGCAAAAAGCAGTCATATGATAAAATTAGGAGTCGGTTTGAACAATAAATGCTATTGAATATTCGAAAGTTAACTATTTACTTGTATTTTTTATTTTTCGTTTATAGACAATTCTATGGACTAATGAGCTTTGTGTATGAGCCCTATATTTAACATTCCATTTAAGTAACTAATTAATAATTTTTAATTCTAATCTGTTAAAAATGTCTTCTATTATATTCTTAATCTTGTTTTGGGGTACTCATCTTATTGTACCATAGATTTCTTCTTCTATCATCAAAGTTGAGTGTTGTCTTACTCAATACACTTAAGAATCAGAGTATCTTTTGAAAATATATTTAAAGTTCAATCACAATTTTTTCCCTATTTAGTCTTTTTGAAACTTACATGATGCTTGCATGAACTTCCTCAACCATTTTCAGCATTTTGAGACTTTATTTAAGTCACAACATTATACATGTGTCAGAACGCGCAACTTAAGTTACATTAGTAACTACATTATCACACTGTGACACTATTATAACATTTACACATTTGATTATGTCCTTGAAATTTTTTTAATAATTACATTATTTAATTGAACAATTGATTACCCTAATCTTAAAAACCATTTTATACAAGGGTTTTATTATCTTATGTTTTAAAATTGTTTTTATATGTGATATTGTATGCAATATTTTTATCTTTCACTTATTTTATTCTATTTATATTTATGCATCCCAAATATACATTCCGAAATACAAAGAGATATCTTTAAGTATGTTTACATGTAAAAATAACATTTCCTTATGTACAATGGTGGTAGCTTCAGCATAAAAAAGAGAGGCCTTTATTATGTAAACCATGTTTTATACTTCAATCCTTCAACCATGTTTGGAAAGTAGCATGCTGCTCTCGAAATTCAATCAATGAGATTTTGGAGGTATTCGAAAAAGCTTGTACAAATTTTAGAAAAATAACTTATAATTTTGTTCAGCTTATTTTAATAAAAATTTGAATATGTTTAGATACTTAACTTAATTAAATATTTATTTAATAAGTTTTTATATGATAACTTATACTGTAAATTTTTAACTATCAAATTTATTGAAATAAATTACTTAAAATTTTTTATGAAAGTGATAAATTATTTTTATAAATAATTTATAATCTTTTTAGGTAGTCTTTAATATAATTTATTAGAATAAACTTTTTTTAATTTCAAATTTTTTAATCAAATTTATAGCATGAACTTCATATAATAAAAACTTATTAAATAAACAGTTAATTAAATTATGTTGCTAAATACACCTTTTGTTAACCAGCACCAGCATTGTTTTGTATAAATTCTTCATATTCATTTTATTAATTGCATAAATAAAATTACATGCGAAATTTTGCTTAGTCCAGCAAGTGTAATCAGCATCAAGTTTTATTATGAAAATCAACCACTACAATCTACTATAAACTCTTAAGAAAATTATATTTTTGTTTACGGTGAAAAATGACAGTTTGTAAACAAATAATTCAAGAACAATTTGGTGACTGAATTTAGGTCATTTTAAATTCTTTTAAGTGTGTTGTTAACATGATGCTCAAATTGGCGTTGTAAAGTAGAGGATTAAATAGAAATAACAACGGATAATTACACAAAGCTTAATTAAATGTAGACATTTTT